ATATAGCTATATTTTCGGCTGAATTGTTGACTGATTTTTCCGCAAAAATCGTTTTGACGCTTCAACTGAAAGTTGAGGAATTTAAAAATGCAAAAAATAAAAAAGCCCTCATAATGGGCCACGCCACAAATGATTAGTCAATGTCAGCGCCAGTTTTGGCAGAGATAAATGCGTGATCGACCGAAGACCCTCTCTTTTGTCAACAGATAACCGCAGGATCAAATTGACCCCGTTTTAATAAGCCGTATTTGTCAATATCACGCCTCATTAAAAACATTTGGAAGCATTTATTAAATTCGGCTTTTTTCGCCAAGTTTGTGCACTTTTACTCGCAAGAATACACTTTATAATCATGCTAATAGGCAATTAATGAATGAGGCTGCAGGTTCAAAGGGCCTAATTTTGCATCTCGGATACTTAAAGGCAGCAGGACCCGTTCGCTTGACAGTAACAAATTGTGGCAGGATTTTCGCATCAAGAGGCATATAAAGTCGTGCGTGACAAGTGGAAAACATGCCCGGAATCGGTGTAAAAAACATCGTTGAAGTGTTGTGATAACTCGTCACGGGAATCCGTCGATTTCGACTGAATTATACTGGAAAAGTTGACAAGTTGAACGGTTGTTTTTCCAGCAGGAATCTGTTGGGTTTAGCGCCTGAAATTGTCCACTTGTCTTATGTAGAGTGACGAGAATGTTTTAAAACCTGTCTATCTTGCCCAGATTTTTGAAGAAAAAAGAAACTTTCACGGCATTTAGCGTCAAGTTTTAGCTTTTGAATCCAGCAAAAACAAAAGCTCTGTGGGCAGCAGTTTTTGCAAAATTAAGTTTTGAAACAGCAGCGGCGCAACTAAGGAAATCCGTGAGGAGCGCGGTTAGTGTGGCTTCAAAATCGTGCCAACATTTCATCGATTTTTTGCCACTGATAAAACCTCTTGGGCTTTTAGCACTAAGATGTGGCTTTTGAGCTCTGTAAAAATAAACTCTAGATTTGGAGCACTTTTTGCACAGGTAATTTTTGAAGCAACAGTGACGCATTCAAGAAAAGCGATGGGCGGCGCGGTGGATGTGGCTTCAGACCAACACAAATATTTCCCAGATTTTTTTCCAAAAATTAAACTTTCACGGTGGTTAGAACAATGTTTTGGCTCGTGAACCCAATAAGAAGAAATTTCCCGGATTGAGCAGTTTTCTTAAAAATAATGTTTAAGCAACAGCGACGCAACTAAGAAAAGCGCGATGAGTGTTGCTTGAAAATCCTGCCAATGTTCCCAAAATTTTTCGTCACATATAAAACTTTCTCAATATTTAGCACAACGTTTTGGCTTGTGAACTGACTAAAAATAAACTCTGGACATAAAATAGGTTTTGCACAGATAATTTTTGGAACAACAGTGACGCAAACAAGAAACGCGATGTGCAGCGCGGTGAATGTGGCTTCAGACCCGCAACAATATTTCCCAGATTTTATGCTAAAAATGAAACTTGCAGAGTAGTTAGGATAATGTTTTCACTAGTGATCCCAGTAAGAAGAAATTTTCCGGATTGATCAGGTTTCTTAAAAATAATTTTTATGCAACAGGGGCGCAACTAAGCAAGCGGTGGAAAGCGCTAATAGTGTCGCTTCAAAATTCTGCCAATGTTCCCAAAATTTTTCGTTAAAAATGAAACTTTCCCAGTATTTAGCACAACGTTTTGGCTTGTGAACTGACTAAAAATAAACTCTGGACATAAAATAGGTTTTGTACAGATAATTTTTGAAACAACAGTGACGCATACAAGAAAAGCGATAGACAGCGCGGTGGATGTGGCTTCAGACCAACACCAATAATTCCCAGATT